GTTTCAGAAATGGTGGGAGAATCTTAACGTTTTCTGTCTTAAACCGAATACAAGTACAAATGTAGTTTGACAACAATTTTTCCAAAGAAATTCAAAAAATATATATGACTGCGATGAGTACAAGTACGACTAAGAGTACAAGTATATATAAAATAATAAATGTATAAAATTTGTAAAAAAATAAAACTTTAACTTAAAATTAAAATTAAACTAAAAACCATTGAAGGCTGAGAAAATCAACCTGTGCACAACAACAATTATAAAAATATTTTTATTTTATTTTTAATTTTCGTATCTGAACAATTAAAAGTAGCCGCACTCAAGCAAAGCAGCAAATAAAAAACTAACGAATGTGAATTCGACATGTTTTACATACATTTATACTATAATTAATTTAAATGAAAATAAAACTATGTTGTTTTTTTTTATAAAAATTAAATATTAAATATTATAGAATAGCTAATTGAAAACAAATGGAATTAAGTGAGCAAAACATCTCTGGAAATATTAATGATTGAAATCGCGCAATAAAACTCTGGTAAACATTGAAATACAAGTTTGTGCTTTAAGTCTTTTATTTTATGGTAATAATTTGTGGATAATTAGTCATTTAATTAATAATATATCGCAGATATGACTTTAGAAATATTAAAAATTAAAATTGAATCTTTTATGCTAATTGTGATTAAATGTATTTGTTAATTATTGAGATCCGAGTTAAAGATGAGAATTTAATTCTGATTTTATAAGAATATAAGAATAATACGACATTTTTTTTAACAGTTAATATCTTGAACTGAGTTAATATTTAAAGTCTAAAACATTTTTCTTCAGAAAACATAAAACCAGCATAATATGCTTACTATGGTCCTCTCTACTCATAACATTCGAATACAATAATGATTTTTTTATGAGGATGAATTGAAGATAATAATGTTTCCGATATGTCATCTCTGGAGGCACTTCGAATAATTTTATTTATATTAATTTTTATAAATGAAATATAATGCCATACAATTCTTTTTGTAGATTATTTGTCCTTCCACTGTTAGATAAAATATTCGATTGTCAAAACAAATTTAAATGAGACAAGAAAATAAAAGAAGTTAAGAATTTAAACCTTTACAAACTAACACAAATGTTATGTTTAAATAAATATTATATCTATATTTTTGAGTTTATCTGTGGAATGCAACGTGCGCTTAAAATATTATCCACTATCTATATTAGTGGTAAAAATGACTAGAAACCATTATCAATGCAGACTAGTATGTAATCAATTGTGACATCCATTAAGATGTCGACATACCCCTCATTAAGGATGAGATTGTAAACATAAATAGTCAGTATCAATTAAATCTGGCGCATCCATCAAAAATTGAAAAAAGAAAAACACTATAGAGCAATTTTTCTGTTAATTTAATATAAATAATTACATATAAATAAATCATATACAATAAAAAATATATATTTGTATGTATAAACTGTATATATATTGTATATATTATATACTTCTATTTATCTGGTAGAACATGTACATAAAATATATAAACGCTATTGGAAATAAACAAATTAAATTATTTTTTAATAATTAAATATAAATTGTTAATAAATTTAATTATTATTTAATCACTTTATTATTATCTATTGATCACTTTAGTATAAAGTATAAAATATATTAAGAAACTATGAATATGAATACACAGAAGAACACAAGGCCTCTTAGGAATGAAAGGAGAAGATTTCCACAGCAATGTGGAAACTTTATTCCAGTAATCATGGGAGAGGGGAATGAGAAAATAGAGGGCATGAACTAGGTAGGAAGGGCGATATAGAAGGGGAAGAGGTTACGCCTAACTAGCTATATAACGCCTAACCGTTATATAAGGGGATAGTGGAGAGGTTATGGTTCACTTCATCGAAGTAGTGGGTCAGGTATTGAGTAGGCTTACAGCGCAAAGCTAGAACAAGGTCTTCTGGAAGATTGAGAACACAAAGCTTAGGATATAATAAAAAAGAATAAAGAGTATATAGAGTCTGTCAAGACATTTTAAGACCTTTAACACAGAATAATCCAAATAGATACTTAATCTAAACAAGGGATATATAGCCATTTATGTAAATCTGCTTTTTTATTAGGTTTTTAATATTATTCTTTTTTTTTAGAAATTAAAAAAGTATTGGAATCGTAGCCAGAGAGTGAGTTTAATATAACCACATTTCTTCTAGACGGGTGTATTCTTTTGGTATTGGGTCATTATAATATGTCGGAACACCATTTTAACAATTTCTTTGTCATTTAATAAATGTACATAGAAATTCTATAATATTGATTTCTTCGGAAAGTACTTTTTTTTATTCTTAATTTTTTAATACTACTGTTGTATGACTTAAAACTTATAAACTGTTCAAGTCTGTGATACATAGAAAACTTTCCAATTCTCCAAGTCACTTTTAAAAATCTGATTTGAAGTAAATATTATGCCGTTTCAACAATTTTGTAGATACTAGTCCAAACTATTTGTAGTGCTAGGCCACTAGGTATGAAATAAATGTTAGGTATGGTGATGACCTCATATAACCATACATAACAAAAAATTCGCATCATTGAACCGTTATACTATATGTCCAAGAAATATCTTACTTAACTTCTTACATACAAATCAAAATAATAGTTTTTCCTTAGCTTAAAGCACCGTCCTGTTAAAACCATATATCTTCTTCGCTACAAAAAATTAGTTATCATCTAGCTATAGTGATCAGAATTGATGTTTGACGGCTTGTGTTGCATATTCGTCATTAAAAAATAGTTTAAGGCTATTACACCCTCTAGAATAAATGCCACATACAGTGATTTTTTTTTGTATACTTTTGGTCTTTTTACAGGAGTGGTGCAAACTGGTGAGGAAAATAATTTAGGGATCAGATAACTTTTCCATCCTTAACAATGTTATCTTCAGATAATACTCTGCTAAAAAATATTTTCGAGTATATATCCCTTTGCCAGTTTTGGAGATCATCAAGGAGTATATGTCTTAAAGATCTCTAAGGTATATACCAACAAGTGGATTATGTACAGTCAAACTTCGCTTTAGATATCTTCAATATCGATAATACTACAAATTTGCTTGTCCATATATTTATCAATCAAAAAATAATACGATATAAACTCAATATAAGGGGCCTCTAAATATATCTACTTGAGGAAAATTATTTTTGCAGTAACTTTTCACAATTTGAACTTTCGGTTAAACGACCAATATTACAAAATTGTTAACCTTGAAGTAAACTAATGATCCCTTGAATGACAGTTTTGTTTGACATATGTTATTGGGACATTAGTTTAACAACCAATATTACTAAATTGTTAACCTTGAGGTAAACTTATGAACCCTTGAATGACAGTTTTGTTTGAAATATGTCACTGGGACAGTATTATCAAATCAGAACCATAAAACGGATAAGCAATTATTGCAAGTAGATGGTATTACCGGCCTCTTGACCAAATCACTGCATCTTAATTATTGGAATGAAAATTCGGTACTGCAGTGGAAATTTTCTCCATTCTTTCCTAAGAGGTAGTATTTTATTTTTTTTGTTTATTTAACAATATATATTTATTGAATCGCTTTTATTTGAAGCCTAACAATAAGTCTTAGAATCCTAAAAATTATTAATATTATATTACAAATTATTTTATATATTAAAACTAGAATGAAATTTAAGATAAATTGTAAATTATTTTAAGGGGCTCTGAAAAAGTAGCCAGGGTTTATTTATACCAGATACCACAGTGCATAAGTTGAGAGGTGGTATTAGTGGATTAAAGTTGGTTTCACAATTTGAAGATTATACTTTTCATAAAGAATATACTCTTCAACTTTAAATTTTGTTTAGAAATAAATCGATTTTTATATCGATTTTGCACATTATATCGATTTTAATTTAAACTGTGATATTTAAAACTTATAATTTCTACATATTTATTTAGATTAAAAATACCATATTATTATTTTTCATTTTATTTCAAATAACTCTATTTAAACACGATTTTTTCAGCTAATTATTATTGAGCAAGTAATAATTATTAATATATTATCAAATAATAACTAATACTTTTTCTGAGTCTTTTGGGATCAGTTTTTGGTGCTTACCCATTGGCAACACCCAAAATTACTAATTAATTGCTTTTAATGATTCGCAAAAATTTGTGTTACTATGACGTACTTAAGAAATATTTAAATATATAAATAAATATAATTTTGGTTTTTAAAATAAATCACATTTTTTACTTCCTTCTAGCATAAATTCTTAAGCACTTGGCTTTAATTCGCTGGCTAGATGAACTCCCTTTCTAAAACAATTACGCATTTAAGATTTCCTGCCTCGAATTATATACTACGAAAATATATTTAATTTGGATCATTGGTGATGTTTTTTTTTTCTTTGATCAAATTAAATCAAATCTAAAGAATTTTTTCACAGAAATACATAGACATATAAACTTTATATTGCTTTTCATTTTGGCACAATAATAATTTGGCCACTATTAAAGTCGATATCATTATCTAATATAAAACCAAGCTCACACTTTGAGTTGAAGAGAGAATAACTCAGTTAAACTCAGTTGTACTCAAGCTTGAAGATCACTTTTCAAATGGAAAAATTTGATCAAAAAACTCAAGACTCAAGACTACAAATTTGAGTCAACCTCCAAGATGAGCGTCAAGTTTTATGTTTTGTCTATGCGGATTTACTTCTTTGGTATAAAATATAAAATTTTCAAAGAAAGTTGTTCATTTAAGTTGTTGAGCTCGCGCGTTTTTGACAGAAGTGCACTTGGCTGATATTTTGAGATTTATTGTTTAATAAAAACCGAAACGAAACCATACAAATAATAAAATAGTGCATAAAATAAAAAATTAATTTTTATAGTGAATTGTCATTTTTATTAAATTAAAAACAAATTATTAATAAAGTCTAAAATCAGAAAAAAAAAAAACAAAAAAGATTTGACTTTAGCAGTAACTACTAAAAGTGGATTATAATTGAATCATTACGATCGCCTCATTAACGGATATATACTTCAGCAGATCTTCAACAATAACAACACAACAATGCAGTAAGTGATTTATCTTAAGATCGCTTGGTTAGCGATGGCATTAAATTAAAATCCTTTAAGTGCTGCAGCGAGTAATTTTGCCTAGAGTGTAGCATTATTTCTGAGTCATGGCAAAAGCCCTTCAGCACTACTATAGAAACCTATGTTGGTAGTGCCAGACACTGTTTCCATTGTTTAAGTTGTTGTCTTTTTATTGTTACTTACTCAATTGTTCCATATTGCCTTTAATGTTTCGTTGCAGTTCGTTGCTAGACTCTATGCATATATTTGCATAAAAGTATCTGTTTTATATTTTACGCTTTGTTATTAGTCATTGCCTTTAAGCCAGGTTTTAAGTACTGTAAATTATAATTTTGTACAATTTTTTGTTTTTTTTTTTGCTTAATCTCTACATCGTGGGAGTTTTGAATTTTAGACAATTGTACACTGGCGTAATATACAAAGGTGCTTATTAGTTGAGTTGCTTATTGGTACCGCTTTCAAAGTTTTATTTCTCTAACATTAATGTATTTTTGTTACTTAAATTTATAATAATTTTTGTCATTAAAGTTTAAATTTTAGCATTGACTGGCGTCTTTACAAATTTACAAATTTGGTGTATGTTGAATAAATACTTTTATACAGATTAACTGTGATCTGAGGATATGTCAATCAATTGCATAAGCTGCTTTGTTTTTTTTTTTTTTTGTAAGTTGTTAAGTGGGTAGAATGCGTATTATTACTTAAATAAATTCAGTTTAATAAAGAACAAAAATTATAAAAAAATATATTATGTTAGGTGGGATGGTATAGAGAAGACACAAGTCATCTAATTACAGCATATCGAGTTCTTTGACATAAACGGAAATCAAATAAGTTATCAGCATTAACATTTTTTATTTATTTATTTTAAGGATAGTATTACAGTATCACACACCTAAGAGGGTATTTCATGGATCATAAAGATTCAAGACTAGGAAAAGTAGGCTCTATACTGTCTTTCATTAAAGAAATCGGACTTGGAGTAACACTCTAACCCGAGTAAGGGGCATAATAGATCTTTAAAGTCACAATGCACAATCCCTTTTTTTTTAATAATAATAATTATAGTATCATACAAAAATTTTAAACCACTGTAATATGATTATATTACTAAATTTAATTAACACAATATTAAATTTGATTATAATATCAATATGAAACTGTGGTATTTAATAAAGTAATATATAATATTTATATATTACTTACTTACTTATGTGGCCATAACAACCCATTACCGAGTTTCGGCCTGACGCAGCATGTCTCCCCAGGCGCCTCTGCTGCGTGCGCGCCTTCTCCAGTCTCGTATATCAAGTCCAGTTAGTGCTCCCTCAACTTGATCACTTCACCGGAGACACGGTCTACCTCTACGTCTTCTTCCGCCAACTACTGCTTCAAACACCTTTTTCACCGCAGCGCCTTTATATATTACTAAATTTAATTAACACATTATTAAATTTGATTTTAACATCAATATAACACTAGCGGCTATTTTTATTTTAACAGAAAACTTATTTTAACAGAAACTGTGGTATTTAATAGAGAAGTTTCGAACAATAGTAAACCACAACAACAGAAACGCCAGAAAAACGTGCTAACATACAAGTAAAGTACGACTTTGGGTCAGTTAACTAATAAACGCTAAATCTAAGCTTCAAATTTGCCAGGGTATGAGTTCAATCCCTAGTACTTGCAGTCTCAAAAAATTACATACATAATTACATACAAGAAATAATTCCAAAACCACTGATGATATGTATTTGGCAATACACGAAACAGCTGTATAGACAGCCAAAAATTCAATTAATTAAAATAATATAAAAATAATTTTTGTTGTTCTCGTGCACAACTCTTCGAAACCTCTCTATTATTACATTATTGTACCTATGAAAGCTACATTTAACCAATTTATGGCATTAATGACATTAATACAAATTCTAAAATATACAAAATACTACCTTCAGCAGATCTCTTATACTTAATGATCCTAAGAACATACAGCTGTTTTGGATATTGACAAATACCCACTGATCCTTGGAAATATTTTTAGATATGAATATTGATCTATGATTTACGAACAAGAGTTAAACTTGAACTCTACAAAAATTAAACTTAGATGTAGGTTTTCACACCTGAGCCAACGCCAGTATTACAAGTCTTGACTTTTTAATTATAGTTTTCAAAAAGTTCTTTATAACTTTTAAATTTAAAAAAAAACGCATACATAAAGCGACTAACATGCAGATCGTAAAAATTATTCACCTGTGAATTTCAAAACATCAATCAATGACTAGTCTTTGCATGGTACCGCAATGTCAGCTACTCTGAAGCAAGTTCTAAAAGTTTATTTCTCTTACAACCTTATTAAAAGAGTACTTATCACAGAAAGAATTTATTTTCGGTAATGCATATAAATAGCTATTTTCCACTTACCTATAATTGTCTATAACTAGAACCACTTTAAAAATGCTTGCTACTTTGTGTTGATCTCAACTAGAGTTTAAAATGAAAACAATCAATACACTCCAGAATTATCTTCCTACTATATTCTTCTCGCCATATGGAACCCTTATGAAAAAAAAAAAAAAAAACCCTTCTCTTCTTCTCTATGAATTATTGCTATCCCAGCGTTTCTGGAATTTTTATATTTTTTATGCCATTAATAATATATTTATCTAATTTGAAGGTGTTTGCTCAATTTATTGTGCTTCTCATATAAAAGCAATACTTAGGCCTGTAACTTATACACTATTCTGTCAAGACTTCTATTGCCTATTGTGATGCATTTAAAATTGCCTGGAAGAGCGAGTTAAATTAAGTATTTCTATTAGGCTTATTAAACTACTGTACTAACCGCCAGGTCTACTTTTAGTTCTCTGACAGGTTTAAGAAACAAACTCCAAAACATTCAAATTTTTTTACAAGTAGTCCTGGACAAAGATATAAAATATATCTAATGGATTTTATATTCTATTGATCGTGACAGCCCCAGTAAAATGCATTTGTCTGCATATGCCATTATTGAAGAATTTTTTGGACAATCTCAAGTATTTCAAAACATTTTATTATTTTGCTAATATTTTTTGTGATAAGATTTTTTTTTTTGTAGGGTTCGAATAGAAAAGAAAGGACAAGCACAAAAATTAAATTAATTTATTGAAATTTGACTGACCATATAACGCTGTTTCGAATATTGCCAAGTACTCATCATCAGTAGGCTTAGGAAATATTCGAATTTCTTTTTAATTAGTTGATAGTCCGTATATATATATATATAGTACGACTTTTTTTTCAATTGTGCACAATTTTCGTTTTTTTGGTTTCCGAACTAAAATTAACATAATGATAATGATATTGTTCGATCCATTATGTTGGATGACTTTTGTAAAACCCAAATCAAATAAATGCTGTCAAAATAAAAATAAATAATCTCAAAAAGCGAATTTCCTGTAAGGTAATAAAGAAATAGAAGCCTTCTAAAGAAAACACTCAAAAAGTTTTAAAATTAGATTTTAATTGTTAGTAACCTCCATTGTTATCATTTACGTGATATTTTATATAGAATTCAAACAAACCTTGTTATTAATCGTTATTTAAAATCAATAGTGTTTTAAAATTTAAATAAACTAGCGGTTATAACATTAGGGCTATTCACGAGTACGTGTAACGCACTTGGTAACCGAGTAAAACTGCAACGTAAATATTAGTTAAAGCAAAGGCCTGACTAACGTAGCAACCTGGCAAGGCATTACTCGACATGTATTTTGTTGTTGCTGCTTTGCACTTTTAATACGTTCCTCGGTAACTGAGTGCGTTACTCGAACTCGTGAATAGCCCTTTTATATTTTATATGTGAATTCATCTTTTTAATGTGCGTTATATCCCATACAAATTATATATTTGAGCAAAATGAAAAAGAATTGTTGGAAGCTTCTAATCAAATACCTACTTATACATACATATAGGGAACAGTAGAAAGATTTTTCAATACATAATTCAATAAGCTAATACCTATATGAGTATTTTTTCTATATATGATGTAAAGTATTGAGTTTGTGAAATGAGCTGTTATAAATGAATTCTATAGCAAGAATTATAGTAGTTTATTATGCTATTCTTAAGTTCTTAAGTGCTTCACTCATTTGAGATAGTATTATTATTTAGCGCTGTTTCAAAACAAGTTCTATTAGAGCTTCCTTGACATCGTTTAATTTGAACATCAAGCGCTAATTTTAAATGATTCTTGCTAATTATTCCTATAAAATTATTTTATGATTTCAGTTAATTTTAATTTTCTACAAATTTATAATTTTCTTAAATAATTAAATAATGGAAATATGCAATTGACTTATTACAACAATAAATAAAATGCTGAAATAGCAATAAATAATAATAATAAAATTATAAAAAAACTATTCAAAATCATCAAATTGAAATAGTTGGGGATTGCATGCTTTACGGCTTATACATATGGGGAGTAAACCTTATTAACCAATGTTTTTTTATTAATTACCTAGTATATAGTTTTATTTATTAATGACAATAAAAACAATTTCAGATTTGGAATTAAATTTATAGTATTACAAAACTTCAGTTAAAGTCACTAATTCGGCATAACAGACAATGGTAAAGATAATTATTAGCAGATTATCTCAAGAAACGATTATAAAAACAATTACTTTTTTTGAAAAGCGCAGTTGTCGAATTTGTAAATTGCATTATAAGAGATAAAATTTACTATCATAAAAAAATACCAAATAAAGCAGTAAAGTTTAAAAACTTATCATAAATCAAATCGTTTCGATTTAGCCGTTACAATTATGACAATTGCATTGTACTTTATGAATGCGATTACATTAAGTGACCTTTAAGTTGGCGGGTAAATACGTGTAATTATGTTCAATGTAATTGCTTTAGCTATGAAACTTTTGGTAATATTAAATTCTTAGAAAACAAAATATTTATTTTAAGGTTATAAATAA